GTACTCAGGATCTACCGTAGTTACCTCACTTGAAATTTCGAACACTTTTTTAGAGTTGAGAAAATTAACAAACTTCGGCTTTACAGGATTTCGATAATTTGCTTTGTTGGACGACAAAAATTTGATTCAGTTAGAAAAAGACATTAGTGCGTATCGTCAAAAGAATTGAACGATTTCCATCTTCGCATTTACCTTCTAAATGTATAAAATCAAAAAGGAGTATCTGCACATATCTTAAACGTTGGGTGTAACAGTTGCCGTTACAGCGGAGGTCGCTGTGAAGTCTCAACATGAAAGGAACCGTGTTGACACAAGGTGGGTATTGTAAGTGGAAAGCACGCACCTCTGAGCACAAGCTGATGTTGGTCCAGACGTATAATTAGTATTTTGAGATACCTCAAAGAAGTGGCCTTTCTAAAACCGTTTCACAGACATGGGGGGATGAGGGGAAGACTGAATGTGAGTGCTTGATTCGAGACAGCCTTGAGTTAAGAAAGACGTGAAAGGTAGGTGCGAAAACAATAGATTAGAACACTAAGTGCCATATAGTTATCGTAAATGAAGAGAATGATATCGATGATATTAATAGTGACAAGTTTTTTAAATCAATGGGATCAGAAAGTTTGGGAGTAGTAGGCAATTGTTTCAATGTGTCAAATGAGTAGTTTTTTCCGGGAATTTGGTCACCCTTGCACTTCAATACCCCGTGGAAGTGTAAGTCCTGAGTCGCAATAGCCATAAAATGAGAGCATAAATTGGATCATGCTTAAAGCGGACGGAACTGCGTACTGTCATGCGACGGATACGCTGGACAAAATACCTGTGCCGGTATCCCATAGACATCATTAGGCAGTAGGTGTGCTTGATATAAGATGAAAGTCTCTAGCGGAGGGCAACCTAAGTTAACGCCAAACTTTCTGCATTCCGGGATGTAAATCGCGAGAACTGAAGAATGACAGCTGAAGGAAATACAAGAAATCTTAATGCTTTTTAAATTCGTTTTTGCTCCGCCTAATGATGGCTTTAAGTTTATTAATCCACCTACCCCGTGGGGTGACAGCGGAAATGGGATCATAAGAACAAATGCTTCGTTAATTGCTACTAACATTTGCACATTCCAGTAATGCGAAGAAGGTAGCTATAAGAATTGGCAAACCTTCTTAGATGTCCTTCAAGCATTTTTGTGATGAAATGAATGCGGCTTAATTTATTTATAAACAGGTTGGGCTTTCAATCTGCCTTAAGGGAATATAATTTAAAAGCATTTCTAACATCTTCAGTGTAGCAAGAGGTCCTAATTCAATAAGTATTCCAAGATACAAAACCTCTCAAATTCTTCGGTCCTTGCTGTTAAATTGAAGTATGAATGAAAAGGATGCCTATTAATACAAAAACGGGAATTACATGCTGCAGGGTTGTAGGCTATAGAGACAAGTCAATCCAAAGGTTTTTTATTCATTTTACATAATCTAATGTAAAAGTAAAACCATAGTTAGGTGTTCCAACACCTTTGCAGCTATAACTAAATTGCGTTTCCATTCAAGGAAGGGCAGTTGAAATGTCTAATGCCTGTTAATCATGCGGAACAATTTAAATTTAGCTAGACTCAGGTAGGTCCCATCACTACACCCGTTAATACCACCATTTATGCATATTTTGGGCTAAAATGATGCTTTTATATGTCAAGCTGAACAAAGGCTATGATAATGCCAATGGCCGGTAGCTTTAAGTGATTTTCAAGAAGTTTTGCAAATCTTCAAGCAATTTGGACTCATAAAATGTCAAATGGAAAATTGAAGTTGATCTGCATGAAAAATTCAAAAGTATAAAACTAGGAATCGATTGCAAGCAAACAATTTCAAATACAATTTTACAGAGTTTGTCTAAAAGAGTTTTACCGACAACGGCATCTTAAGTTCCGCACCATAGTTAAGCCTCAAACAGATTGTGGTGTGAAACTAGGGCCTAAAAATGTCATTCCATTCCTCTACGAGAATTTGACCACTCTGATCTCTAAAGTAAAGAACGAAAAAACATGTCAAACTGCTTTAAGAAATGTTTGAGATGTTGTATCAGTAATTCGAAAACGGAAGCATCAAATAAAGCGGTAAAAAAATGTAGATAGCATTTTGAAAAAGGGTGACTATTTTTCGAAATACTAAACCATCAACCGCAATTATCACTTGGCGACGCCACCGAAAAACTCTGTAAAATTATAGCGATCTCATATAGCGTCACTTGCTAAATGAGCAGTTCAAACGGAATAAAATGCGAAACCTCCTCATTTAACTATTTCCAGCTTTTGCAGTCAACACTATCTTAAAGATGAAGAGTACTAAGTTTCTGCAAAATTATGAAGATGAGAGTACACAAAGAATTTAACTACATCTTAAAAGGAGTAATGAATTCGAGAAGAAAAGGTTACCAAAGATAGGTAAATATCGGATGGATAAATAGATTGGAGAAATGTATGAGAAAAAGAAAAAAGTACGAGTAACTTCTACAATTTAATCTTCAAAGGAGACGCTCAAAAGGCAACACAGAGACAGGAAAAACGAAGTATCCTCCAAACTCACCTTGAGAGGCACTTCAAGAGCCTCCTCGTCAAGGAGAGTGATCCGGTGAATACGCGTGGTGCGGAGGCCCGAGGATGTGGAATCCCGGGGTCGTGGAAAGGTACTTCGACGAGCCAGACTTGCCCCACGCGAGCGGGTGGTGAAGGCTGTGGAGGAGGAGGTAAATGTGATAGACAGTGCCGCATTTTGAGTTGTGCTATCCCCCTCGTCATCCCTCCGATAGGACAGAGTGGCGCTGCGTGCCGAACGCGACTGTGGCGGTTCGACGTGAAGGACGGTATTGGTAGAGGAGATGTTGGAAGAAAAGGTATTCTCCTGTTAAAGTAAGGATAGAAAGAGATTTTGGAAGTCATTATGAAATGGCAAAGTTCTGAAACCTCAGAAGCTATTAAGCGGTAGTAGATATCAAAGAGAGAACCTCACCCTGGCGGAAACGACCGAAGATGAGGTGTCAAGGTCAGAATCCTCAGGAGTGGCTAAAGGCAGTTGCGGCGGTCCATTGTATGCGGGCAGGAAGTGCGGAATTGGGAGGGTTAATTGGTTCCGTCTAGGGTCCGCATTCATGTGTGGAAATGTTGGTTTCAGTATCAAATCCTGATTAGTAAGTGAAAATATGTAAATTTGGGGAATGGGAATGTGCATCTAATTAAAACGCTTTTTTAATAGTAACACTTTCACAGAAAATAACTATTCAATTTGGATATTGGCAGCATCTCCATAACAAAATATCAAATTGTCATGAAAAGTTAGGATTCCAGCAATAAAAATCCGTTCCACGCACACCAATCCAGAATAAACAAATGTTATTTCCACAGATATTCAAAGCTCAAAAAAGGAGGCTTCGCAGTATAAGAAAAAAATGAAACCTAAAATACGAGCCCATTTACTTACTCATGAAGAAGGTAAATGTTGGTCAGTGGTTTGAAATAATTACACAAAACTGTGCGGAAATGTAATCAATTGGGTGTAAGGGGCAAATTTTACTGGTAACACTTGGGTTAGCAAGAAATATGGTTTCAGCGATAGCGTATTGCCTAACCAAGTACGGAATACAGCTTGAATCATCCCAAAAAAGAAAAAAAGGGAATTGCTTGCATGGCCTAGAAAATTAAACACAATCCGACACCCTATTTCTTCACCAGCAAAATTCAGACAAATACCCTCACTTTGGAATGTGGTAAAATTTTCAAATATTCGTATGACAAAGCTGAATATAATGAAGTGACAGACTGTCTAATAAATGCATAGAAGCAGACATCAGCTTAACTTATTAATGTATAAAATGCTACTAATAATTGAAGCATGCGATCCTTTCCTCGGAGTGTGTTAAAAAGCAATTCCAGCGTAAGATTTATTATTTATGGTAAAAAATCTAAACGCTTTATAAAAATAACCTTACTGAGTTTCAATGATTCCAAATAACTGAAATAGTGCAAATAAACGTGCATGGAAAGGTAAAGCTGTGAAACGCCTGGCAGAAATTAGATGTGGCTAATAATAAGGCTTGAATCGAAAAGGGCATGTAAAACAGTACCATAAGAAAAAGTAAATCGCCCAAAAGATCAATCGCTATGATCCCTAAATGAAGATAATCCAGTAACTCGGACCTGGGTTGAAAACAGATACATGCAAAGCAAAAGGTGGATGGATTTGGAGGCAAAAGTCAAAAGCCAACACTTATCCGAATGCTTCAGGCACGTCTACACGGAAACGCATTTGATATGAAAGGCGAGACACCAATTATTCATTAACAGTATTCTAATAAACAAGCGACGACATACAGGCCGTACACAAGCGTGGACACAAGTGATAAATGCAAACAAGTTCGCGTTTAAAGGCAGGTATTATGAAAGACTGCTGCACTGAAATTCATCTAAAAGCGGCTTAGAGACCTGAATAGAAATGCCCCCATGTCGGAGATAACTCTCCCCAGCTCAGCGCTATGACCTTCGTAGTTTCAGTGAGGGGCTAGTAATTAAATCAAAATAAGGTAGCCAGAGAGCCTTAAGATTGCTTCTTGACGGCATTAATAATAAACTGGGATTATAGGAGAAGTAAAATTATTCCAAAACTCTACAGTAATAATGCAGATGGATTCCTCTACAAATGTGCTTTGTGACAAGCTATCCTAGCAATTTTCGCGAGTTGGAAATATGTTACGATTTAAGGACATAAGGTTTTTAGATGAGGCACTTGTGCCGTTATTTATTTAACTCCTTATAAACAAGAAATGTCCTGGACGCCTAAAAAGTAGGGTTTGATCGCAATTTTTACAATTGCAAAATTACTAAATTCACAACGATTTAGTATCCACAAGATCCTACTATTTAACGTTGAAATTATGTACTTAATAAAGTTGTGTTTAACCTGGTGAATGGTTAGTGCAGCGTTCATCACTGGTCTGGCCTAGGGTCCTTTGCTCACTTTCCGTTCTTTTTGATATCGGTTTGGGAATAAGTCTTGTTCTTGGCTTCCTAGATTTGCATCTCAAGGCACTTTTTTTTACCACTTGATATTGTTTCTTCTCAGTACTTCGATCGTCTACTACAGTTTCATTTCTATACCCCCCGGTCGTTCATCAATATGTTTATCTAACAGTTCCATAACCGTTTTTTGTAAGTAGAATGGGTTCTTGGTCCCCGCCTTTTTCCTGGTAGTATAGGCTCCTGAATCAATAAAAATCAACTGGTCACTTCTCAACTCGATTAATGGATCTCTTTTGGTGTTTTCTGGTCATGATCAACACATGAATTCACTTTTGTATTCCCTATTTCATTCAAACCTACTAGTGGTTTTTGCGTGCTTACGTATAGATGTCTTAATCTCTTCGCATATCCGCTTTTGTTACTTTCATTATGATACTCATGTTATTATCCCCTGAAGTGCCTTTGAACAAGTTGAAAGTTTGTTACTGATAAAAGCACATTTGGAATTTGATAGTGTGTCAAGTGCACTTGCTGTCGTTCTGCGCTTTTAAACCACTTGATCACTGCACAAGTTTCACACATTGGCTATATAAAATGACGGTATAATTAATTTGTCTTGTTACTTTGAGGTGGGGCACTTTTCAGCCGCAGAAGGATGGGCCTACCTGCCAACTGGCCTGGAGAAAGTCGCCAACTGCGTTACTCACCTTCCTCTGATACCCGTCAGTGTCTACCTAGCCGCCAGCCTTATCAACAAGACAAGGACTTCCACTGAACTACTGGTCGCTGGTATCTATGGTTCCGCTCTTGTCTCCCTTTTTGGAGCCTCCTCCGCCTATCACTTCTGCACCCTTTTCCCCACCAAGAGGTGACCCAGTCGCTATTGCTTCTATTCGCTTATTATTCGTCTGATCAACTTAGAAGAAAGCTGATTTTTACTTGAGTGGTGCTGTTAGAGATAGCTGCAATTACCCCACGTTCAGTGGCGATTTTTATTGTGGTTTGCGGTATTCATTTTTTAATGAGCAGAACATGTGCGCTTATTCGCGTTTGTTCGCCTATTCTAAGTAGTTGAAACTAAAAACTGTTTTAAACTCAAGCAATATTTTTGTGTACTTTCTGTAGCCGCTACCACGATCTCCTGCATTACTTCGATCGTCTAGTCATATTCGTTTTCATCGCCGCTTCTTATACTCCTTGGTTCGTTGTTTTTTACTTGTTTAATAAAGGTCGTCTGTTACAAATACTTAGTCTGTATTTAAAACTCGTTTTTTGTCCTATGGATACCAACATGTAGTCCTTCATATCATAGCTGATTGTTATATTACCCACGATGTAAGACCTGAGGAGTAAGGCCGTCGTTAACGAACATTACGAATACCAAGAATATTTACCCCTTTCAAAATATCCAAATGCGCTGATTATCCGTGTGAAAGATTGCTTAAGAAGTATGTGTTGACTAATTTTCTTTATGTTGTGCTCTATTAGTTAAAATAAGTGGTAATTTGTGGTCAGCTTTTAATCAGTCCATTTCTTCAAGTAGATTGCTTTTCGCTTTGCATCTATTTCCTCTTTGCCAATCCTACATTGTGCTTTGTAAAATCTAGTTCGCCGGCATTTTGGCGTTAAAATCTCGTTTGATTTGTAAACCTTGCCCAATTCAACTTAAGTTGATTTAATTAATAACCCTTTTCTTGACTTGTTGGCACAGATCTTGAAAAGTGTAGTAATTAAGGTCTGAGGTAGAAAGGGAATGAAAAAAAGCTAGACAAAGTCTGATTTTCATTTGAAAATAAATGAAGTAGTTTATTGCAATCCTGTACAACACGTCTAGGTGACTGCTTCTTGTTTTCCTTGGGATATAATTGCCATTTTAAACAATTAATAGTGGTTTTCTCTCAGATCCTTCTACTTTATTGTGTTTAAGGCTTGTGCTGCGTGAATTCGAGATGGACATTGGTCTCCTCGTACTGAAGGCTATTTGGACAACTGCTCTAGGTGGTGCTGTATATCAGTATTTTTACCGAGAAAAGTAAGTAAACAACACCACCATCACGTGACTTCCTTTAGGTGGAGGCTTTTAGGCCTCATCTTCTACCTCACACTTGGTTTGCTACCGGCTATTTCCGTCGCTTATCTGGTTAGACCTTGTTATTCTGCTGCGTTTTTTTGTATCTACGTGAATACATGTCTTCTACTGACTGATAATAAGTCATTGATCTGGTTGTAGAAAGATATGTCTGGAATTCGAATTGTAGCGCTGGGTGGACTGATGTATGTCACGGGGACTATCTTCTTCAGAATGGACGGTGTGATTCCAATGGCACATGCAATTTGGCACTGCTTCGTTGCACTGGCTGCCTACATCCACTTCTCAGCAATCGACCAGTACCTCTACTCCCACTTAATTTGAAACAATGGAAACGTTGCAAAAGCAGCTCATTGCTTTGGCACCATTTATCAAAGTATTATTCAATCTGACGCTTTCACTTCTTCCACCTCTTTTTTCTCTGCACCAGCGTTATAATTTAGCCGACTTGTTAATCATTTATGCCTTTAATTTGTGCTATATGTTTGGTGAATGTCAGTCCAGGACATCATATTGAGGAACCCCCTCTATTCCTGATAATAGCCAGAAGTCACGTGCTGCTGTTTTTTTTAAAGTAAATGAAGGCCATCTTGTTGGGAAAAGCCTTTGGTGGATTGTAATATGAGCAATGGGACAAATATTTTACTCCTTGCTGATGGGGCCTACAATCTTAGAAATGACGTGTCTGCTTCGACTTCTTGAAGGTTTCGACAAGTTTCTCCCCTCAGCGCCTCTGCTGGAGTCCTCCCTTAACTTGTGGTAGTGGCCACAGCACCATAAGCACGAAGTGGCCCATCATTCACTCGACGATCGCAGACGCGAATGGTGAGCTCGTGTCTTACCGCAGCCTTGCTTCTTGGCTATTCTGGTTAGAGATCCCATAGTATCATGCTCACAAGAACACAAAATTGTATTTCGCTTACGCAGTTTGGGAGAGTCGAGGATGTAAACTTGATGACCGAACTTTCGTGCATTAACGAGTGGAAACAAGCTCCACTCCTTTCACATCGTGCGAACTTACCGCCCTTGAATTGTCTACGGACTGACTTGTGAAGGTGAATGCCACATGTGTCCCAACGGAGAGAGGTGGGGTACGTGACCAATTATAATTGAGGCAGAGACCGCGCACGCGTGCGGCCGTGTCTGCTTTGTGCGTGGTGCATCGCAGCCGGAATTGTTTAAAGTACTACTATTTTGTCAGAGGCCAAGCTCCACAGCTGGGGAGGGGAATCTCCCTCCCCCCTTCTTCTCCCCATGGAAAGCAGACAAGACTGACCAGTCAGTCAAGATTTTTATAATAAGAAAAAGAAGAAGGAAATCACCAGGGGTGATCTGACGAGTTCGAGGACTTGTACACTATTTAAGGCGTGGGAAATAGTTTGTACATTCTCTAACTATACAGAGTAAGTTGCACTTCATGTGTGGATAATGAAGATATGATGGTCTGTGCGGTGGGGTGCCCTTCGAGGTCTGCACGTTTGAAGTTCGTCCTTCTCCTGCAGCCTGCCTTGAGGTTACTCTATTTATTGCGCTTGGCACTCTTGTCAAACAAGCAGCAGGCAGCGCCGATCTCCATTATAGAAAGCATGAAAGGTGTCACTCAATCTGCCACCGCATGGTGTTGCAGAGACTCTGAGAGGAAGTCAGTGCAATTTAACAGAAAACAGAAGCCCCAGTCTACTTACACTACTCCACTCTGCTATCCATGCAATTATGTGACGAGTAATTGTAACTCCTCAGGCTGAAAATTCAAGCGAACTGCAGAAACATGATAAATGCTCCATTAATTCTGCGATAATCATAAACAGCATTCAAGCCAAAAAAGGCTAGTTATCTGATTGATGCACATTTTTACTTTAATTTAACATTTTGCCAGCACACATCATTCGCTTCGACTCTGCACGATTGTAAGTTATTATTATCCAGCCACCCCCAGCGTATTTGTCACTCATTTTTATAAACAGATCTGCGGATTGATCTTCACAAATGTCAATCACCCCATTCCGCGGGATTGAAGACGAGGATACCAACGCAATTTTGCCTAAATGGTAGAATCTAATTCAACACGACAGCAAATAAACTATTCAATTAGATATTATTCCATAACACGCTGCCAAAGCCTGTTCTACTTACTGAGGCTCTTCCAATGGTATGTGCGAATGAATACATTAGAAAGCAACGAAAGCAAGGTCGATCTCGGCCCTCCTACTGCTCAGGGGATGCCTTTGCACGCGGCAACGCGTTCGCGGAATCAACTCCTAGTTTCAATACTCCAAACTGTAAGTACACAACTCAACGCCAATTACCGCATTATGTGGCCGTATAAGGGAATATGTAAGCTAACCGGCGGACAAGACTCAGACCTGGTAACACCAAGAAATCCAGATACACAAAGAAGTGTAGGATCAGGCGTTGAAATTCGTCTGTACGAGGTCCGAACCATGGATACAGGGGCAGTTGGAAGTTACATTAGCCTTACCACCATCATTGGTTAGAGGCAATAAATAAATAAAGGCTCCCGCCTTGGATTCTCAAATACTAGATTAATTTGGGGTCTATTATTGTCCCCTCAAACACAAATCTAAGGGAAGAGAGAATTCTTTCACTTATACTGTCCAAACGTTTCAGGTTGAGGATAAGAATACACCAGGAAACGTGTACCACGAAAAGCGCATGTCCAAGTTACTGAGAAAAGTTAATTAGGCATTAGGTAAATTAACGAGTCGAACCGGACGTGGCCATAAGTATTCACTCAATCTTATATGGAAACGTTCCGTTCTCCACCTGTTCATCCCATGCTTCAACCTATGAAGTAATCATAAAAAGACAAACGAACCATAAAATTAGGGCACAAATCTTTGTAAGCGAACTTAAAATAATTGCATGGCTTATAGTCTTCGCCGTAGATACGGGTACAGCGATGGAAGTCGATGAAATTCTGCAAGCAATTTCTGCAACAATATGAATAGTTAGAAAAGTGGGTTACCTAGTTTGATTAATATTGGGAAATCGAGGGTCGTGAGGAGTCGTTTTAAGAAATGAATAATCCCCGGTTTCCTTAGCCTCCCTGGCTTGTCTGCGGAATTCCTCAATGTCAACCATGGCTCGACGGCAAAACCAGTAAAAGCGCTGCGCGCTTCAGAAAAGAGCCAATCACGATTCAGGTGCTAAAGTGGTCATTCGTAAAAGAAAAATATCACCTAAGGGAATTGAAAAATGGTTAAAAACATACGAGAAGAAATCGAGGTAGGAAAACAAACTGCATAACCTTCTGTGTGGGGATTCTTGATTACTCATTGTCATTAGAAGCAGAAAATATCACCCTATAAGCATACCTACAAGTAATAAATGCAATCACATTCGCCTTTATTACAAATGGTTTATTTTTTTTAAGGGATATTATTCAAGAACAGGTTTGTATTGAGGAACTACAAGCAAATGCTCTAAACGAGTATGTTAGGCTCAGCAGCAATTTATTCAATGTCTTCGACTAAATTTGTTTTTATTAGGACTATTGACAATAGCTAAACAATAAAGTTAACTCGTTCTTTTGACTCCCGATAGGAAAAATGTGTCATTTAAGGCGCTACGATCTCATCTCCTCCAGAGGGCTTGGCCTCCTGGACGCGGAAGTTGTCGCGATCCCCTATGTTTGCTGTCAATTCACCACCAGAAGTTGATAGGATTTATTAATATTATTATTATTGCTGAGTGTCTTGGCGGCTACTACACTACCTCTATTGTAGACGTAAGTCAATTCAGATCATGGAATTGGACTTTAGAGCAGTATGCAGCACTGGCTTCCAGCCAAAGAAGCTGCAGCCTACATTTGTCGATGTATGATTCGTTGGGTACTTCTTTAACAATGCTGTTTAAGACGTCTAAAAATCAGTCAAATTTAATGGGAAATTTTAAAGTACTGGTGTAATGCGATAGTGGCTTATCCCCCCGCATTGGTGAGGTGTAACTTTTGTGCTTCAAATTAGCCTTCGTGCACCTCGCTAGGCGAACTGACCTTTTAGACCATCCCAATTGTAATACGATAGTGGTTTATCCCTCGGTTCTGGTGAGGCGCCACTTTTGTACTTTGAACTAGCCCCCTTGTACCTCGCTGGGTGGGCTGGCCTTTGGGCCATGCTAGTAGCCCAGACACCTTCTCCGTGCTCAATATATATATATATTCTGCCCGAGTATTGTGTCTTCTTTCGTCTTCAGGCAGTCTCGGGACACTACACCAATAGCCCAGACAGCCTCTTTGCGTTGTATATATATTCTGCCTCAATATTTTGTCTTTTTTTGTATTCTGGGGTCCCGTGACGCTACAAATAGGCCCCAAAACGTTAATTGCACACTTTAAAAAATGAACATATGGCAGTATTGGCAAAAAAGCTGAGTGTGTTCTATAATGCTTTGTTCCTTTTAAAATTTTTCGTTTGCATGAACCCCATAAATGAGACAGATGAAGACAGCCCTCATCTCTTTAATGCAGCCATAAATAAGGAAAAAAAATAAGTTTGTTATACACACTCAATTGTGCACGTGTTTACGATAACTGGTAAGTTCATAGGATTCATTTTTAAGTAGATCATAATAAGATCTGTCAATATCAAAAATTTAAAGTAACTTTAGTAGTAATTTTAAATATTTTAAAATAGCGTATATATTTTTTATAACAATGCCAAATTTTTTAATCCTAATTTATTTCTTTTGGTTGTTTTAAGCAGCTGCCACTTCTCTGGCCCACGGTTTAAGAATGGGGAGGCGTCCTGCTCGATGGTAAGGCGTTCCCTGCATATTTACTTCGCCACTTAGCTACCGCTATTGTAAAAACAAGCCCTATCCCAAATCGCGTTTCTGTCGTGGTGTTCCTGATCCCAAGATCAGGATATTTGATCTCGGCAAGAAAAAATTTGGTGTAGACGAATTCCCGCTTTGTGTTCACATGCTCTCCGATGAGTATGAACAACTTTCAAGCGAAGCTTTGGAGGCTGCCCGCATTTGCGCTAATAAATATCTCGTGAAGTACTGTGGCAAGGATGCTTTCCATCTTCGTGTGCGTGTGCACCCGTACCATGTTGTGCGCATCAACAAGATGCTGTCCTGCGCAGGCGCCGATAGGTAAATTCGTGTACTTATTTTTAATATTAGATTGCAAACTGGTATGCGGGGTGCCTATGGTAAGCCCCTGGGCACTGTCGCCCGTGTTAACATCGGCCAAGTCATAATGTCCGTTCGTGGCAAGGACGTGCACAGACCGCAATTCATTGAGGCTTTCCGGCGTGCTAAAATGAAGTTTCCCGGTCGTCAAAAGGTAACATTTGTGGCCAGAGCCTTCTGCATCAGTGTGTACTGTTATTCTGTTAGACTAACAGAAGGTACGATGCAACATTGAAATTAACTGGCGCCTTGTGCTCCGGTTAGTAACAGTTGCTATTTTCTATCACTTTTTAAGCTTATTCGTACTGTGCTGGATATGCGTCGTTGGTGTGTGCAAGCACACCATGAAATCATATCCCAAAGGGACGGCTAGTTAATTATGGTTAGCTTAACGCATTGCTCAGCCGACAACATCCCTGCTTCTTATGCCGACTAATTCCCCTTTTTATGCTTGGCTTTCAAACCGATTATGCACTTTTTTAGATTGCCGTTTCTCAGAACTGGGGATTTACAAAATGGAAGCGTGAAAATTTCCAAGAAATGCGGAATTCTGGTCGCCTCCAGTATGATGGTTCCAATGTCAAGTATTTTCCTAACCATGGACCCCTAACAGTCTGGAAAAAGACACAATCTGCACTCTTGGGTCTTGAATAAGGAAGTGGTTACAAATAAACTAGTTATCTGCAAAGGACTTAATGGATTTTTCCGGCTTACTATTGCCTAGCGTGATGAGTTGTGTACTCCTCTTGAAGTTCTTTCGCGCGTATTGACGTGCCAGAGGTATGATTCGTGGTGTGGAGGCGCTGCTCTCCACTGTTTTCACAGTAAAGGTCTCAGCTGCGGGTGTGCAAATGCGCTCTCCTTTGTTGTGTGCTGTTTGTGCTTCGAATAGCTCACGTCAACATTGTCCTAAATTTCTCAGTTTCCTTTTGGTAGGCTGGGTGCTAGGGTGTATAAGCCCCCCCAGGAGATTAGGCTCTGCGAATTCCCTGAATCACCATCCTGATTTCCTGGACTGCCTCGAATGGGAGGTGTGAGGACCCTTGCGGGGAATTTTGATGGGCAAACATGGCTACAGGGGCCATCGTGCTGATCACTGGCACATTTAACACAGCAAACCCCCACTAAATATTCTGGGGAGTTGGGTTGTTGATGCATGGCATCCGAGGTATAACGTATTTTCTGAGTTAGGAGTCGATGGGTTCAACTGTTTCAATGCGGCTAATCAAGTTTGCAAGGGGGCACGAAGGAGGACATATCTGCAGATCCGCTTCACCGATAGTAGACTCACCCGAACCACGCCAGAACACTTTATGGTACATGACCAATAATAGCCAGTAATAAATCTCAACAACGACTAACCTCCCGAGTGCAATACAAGCGGGGCCTGCGCATAACTACCAAAAATGAACAGTGGGAAAAAAAATAGGACGAATAGATAAACTAAGGTAGTCTGACTGTTATTTAGCATCATACAAACTCAGCCCATAAAATTGAATACGGCCAAGTGAAGTACAACATGAGCAAAAATGAAGTTTCCAAAGGCCCACTCCGGCATATAATCAGGGAACACATCAGCGTTCTGTGGGTTGCTGTGCATTCGCAAACAAACCGCCAATACGAACGATGCCACTGTAGAGATGAACCCAGCGAGAAAAGCATTGAATGGGAATGTTCCAACGGAGCAACAGTAGAGGAATTGAATAACACCGGTGATGAAAACGTAAACGAGATAGACATCAATCAACTTAAGTTCCAAAGCAGTTGTCTGTTGATATTCACGAAGAATATCGGAAATAACGGAAAGCATCAGTGGGCTAGCTCTGGGTATTTGTTGAACAATCTTTTCATTCTGGACCCTCGATTGCTTAGACGGCATTATGTCAGGTCCCACCGAATGGGTGTCAATTCTTGATTGGTTTAAAACCTTTTTCGAGATTACGCAAAAGAGGCGGGTAATTTTAACAAATAATGCCACTATTAACAAACCAGTTTTAGCATTTTTAATATATTGGAATTGTCAGGGACATTTAGTAGGGAAGTGCTTACTTGTCGATATTTGGATTATGATTAATACCTAGGAGAATGGTTAGAGTATAATGTGAGAATGTAAATTGACTCAATTTTTTGCGTTTGTTACCGAATTATACAGTTATTATTCTTTAGGTATGTCCATTTCTTCAGCCACTACCTTGCTGTGTGGTACTAGGATCTAACATAATTATTTCATAATCTATTTTGAGGAGCCAATAGAGATCGTATTAGGACTAGTCAATGCTCCATTTTATGCATTACCAAGGCTGAAATTCTTAGTTGCATTATTAACATCACGCGCTCAATCCGTCTATTGCCTTTTCGGACTTTTTTTACCGTCAAAATTTGCCAAAGCCACGCTAATGTTAGGCGCCAATCTGTAAAATCTAGTTAAGTAATGAAGTGACATCTTGCCTAGATATAGCCTCCCGAGACTCCCTGAAGACGAAAGAAGACACAATACTCGGGCAGAATATATATTTAGCACAGAGAAGGTGTCCAGGCTATTGGCATGGCCCAAAAGCCAGCCCACCCAGTGAGGTAAGTGGGGGCTAATTCAATGTACAAATGTTGCGCCTCACCAATACCGAGGGATAAAGCACTATCGTATTACATAAATACTTAAATGTAGTCGTAGGCCATCTGCTAAAACATAAACATGTAAAGGTAAGCAAAATGAATGCATAAATGATATCACCTACTTGGAAGCTGAATGGAAGCCTATAAAATTAGTGCAATATAGAAATCAAGAAGAGGTTCTTAGTTGTGACCCTATGCGGTCGCTCCAAGTGTTTGTTTAATCAATGGCTGCTGCAAATGAATAGATTTTAAGAATGCTTGTTAGAAAATAACCTGCATTCGCAGTTGATTATAATTTCAGTTTGAACAATAGAAAACCACCAAATGATCTTTCCTTATTATACTTTAGTGTAGCGTCCCGAGACTCCCTGAAGACGAAAGAAGACAAAATACTCGGGCAGAATATATATATTCAGCACGGAGAAGGTGTCTGGGCTATTGGCATGGCCCAAAAGGCCAGCCCACCCAGCGAGGTACAAGGGGGCTAATTCGAAGTACAAAAGTGGCGCCTCACCAGAACCGAGGGATAAACCACTATCGTATTGCATTAGCAGAAATAACGAGATGTATCACTGACAGTGAAGTCAAATGTCGTTAATGATCTAATATTTTGTCTAGACATTGGTTTTTAAGAGGTAAATTTGTTTCCGTAATCCCAAACTCTTCTATACCTCAGTACCACATGCTCTACCAAATACCTTTGGTTTGTTACGATTTCTGGAAGACTCGGGCCGCTGCATTAGCAGCAGCGATAACCGAACTCGGTCCAAAAAAGGCCAACATCCTTATTTCTGTGGTCGGATACTAGAACTTAATGTGGTAAAAGAATTGGCTTTGCTACAGATGATTGAATCCACAAAGACTTATCACAGAATGGTGAATGATTAATTCAGTCCTTAATGAACCTCCAAATCTAGTGACATTAAACTTCAACCACCCAAAAATGTTCTTTATGAAGATGCCTACGGTATTTACATAAAAATGTTAATCAAGTGAGCAAGCAATATTTCCTCCACTTCTCTATCGTTTGATTGGTATCCAGACAGATGTCTAGGGAGTACTAAAATGAGAAAAAAATTGCAAGAAGGAATGGATGCGGAATGTTAGCTCTATGGAATTATTTCAAACCCTGACACTTATTTACTGATTCTGCTTTGGGACAAATATCCTTACGACTAGCGATTGTCATAAAAGTTTCTTACGTTGTAGACCATTGTCCAGTCTTGAGCAGTATGGAGCGTTCCATACAGTTCACAAATAGTGCCAAACTCCTGATGTGGTGGAGTTGCCGAGGCACCTCAGTGGCGTCGGAATCAAATGCCTTCTCACAGGCAAGAAATTTAATGGGTGGCGTTCTCGATTTGGTTTGGTCTCTAAAGCACTGCCCATGTTGCGCTGGTCGGCACAGAGGGTTACCGAGAAGGAGCGCTGAGTGCAAACCTCAAACAAAGAGATGGACTATATAATGATTTGATATTTGATCTAACTACGCGTTTAACTATGGGGGCACTCCCGTCTACGTACGTTGTATTTACACATCGTGGCATGGCTTACTACAGCATCAAAGAAGGCTTGGGTCGCTGGGTCTATGGAACCACAAGTTCTTCTATACGTTGAGTCTAAATTTGCTCAATGACGAGCTATATCTTTGCGGCTACAGGCAGTATTCAGATTGCAGCAAAGTATCACAAAATTCTCTTTAATATTCACTACAGTTTGTTATAATCTGATTATGGGAATCTACATCAGTGTGTGATCTCGATGCATTTAAATTATTTGATCTACCACATATGTGCCTATTCGAAAAGTCCGCTGAGACTTCTCTGAAGCCGAAAGAAGACGCAATGCTCGGACAGAATATATACCACCTACGTACAGAAGGGATTGGGGCTACTAGCACGATCCGAAGATCAGGCTGCCCGAAGGAGATACAGCAGCGGAGCCCTAAGTGGCACATCACCAAACTATAAGATAAACAAACAAGTAACGTATTTTATTTAGCCCGCGTCAATTACTTTTCTTGAATGCAATATATTAAATCTAAAACTACCAGTTAAATTACTGCTACTCTTAACCAAAGCGAGGTGGGGATGGTTATTCTTAATACAGGATATTAAACCATCCGCGGCCGAAAACACTGTGGAACCCAACTAACCTGTCTGGCGTTTCCATCTTCACCGTATACATGGTTGTATCATTTACGGTATACATAGGCTTTCGCGTACGAAAAATCACGTTCAATCATGGAGGGCGTACCTTTTCCTCCAAAACTGCACACAAACTTGCACTGTTTAATGGATAACAACTTGGCAAACTTCTTGCTGGTCAGTTTCCATCCGCTTGGATCCCTGAAATAATGCCTCGGATTTCAGTAGTCCCGCACCGATGCCAAAGAGATGAAGCCTCCTCAAAGTTCTGGTTGAAATTAAACATCTCCCTCATTGCTATAAACTGGTCCTTATTTGAATTAGCTTGGATTCTGTCGCTTCTTCCACCGGATAAATCCAAGGCGCAAATATTTCAATGGGGTAGTCTGTATCACCGACCTGAAATATTAGACTGGAAGTTCAGCGTGTGTACACGTCTGCAGGCTGCCAATCGGAGGCACGGAGCGGTCGCATTTTGAGTGGCCCTTGCCACACAAAGACCACTAGAACAATTAAATTCAACCTGGACAACTATTAGCTAATCAAGGAAAACGAATCCTGGGTGAGATTTTTGCGAGGTCCTAGAATGTTTGACAAGTATTCCTGAAAAGGAAACCTCCAGAGGATTGAGACAGGAACGTATTTTAGGATCCGCGGTCACACTTAACCCTCTTCTACAAAAAAAGTATCAGTGATGAGATACGGAGGGCCTGAAGCTGTACATTATTATACCTTAATTACTTAGACAGACAATTTGACCTCAAGGAATGCACATAACACAAGGATTAGTAGCTTTACTAAAAGCCCTGAATTTATTATCCACATTAGCTAACATTTTTTGAAGTAAAACGGCCAAATCCTGTTTTCTCATGACAATAATTGATCAGAATTTCTGTCCAGAGATTAAAATCTTTGCTTCGGCTAATAAAACATTTAACTGGGTACTCAGTACATTTCTAGTGAGACTGCAAAACCCTTGCATTTTTTAAGACGACACACAAAAAATTCTCTGTTTTAGCAAATACACCTTTTCATGCCGAAAAAGCATCAAGATTCATGTGAAATGTGTCTATACTTCATTATTACTATGCATTCCCCTTTCGTGTGGCCCATGAAGCCGATCAAGTGAAAAGTAATTTTAGAATACGGTAAAAATGTCTTAAAAAATTTTTGCTAACTAAACACTTCTGATAGAATGCATGTTATATGGTTGAACACCAAATTTCATGTTCGTCTGTGAGTTGTTGATTGACAGGTGATTCAAAATACTTAGCTGACTTCGAAATACTACTAAAAAGTGTTTGTGTCAGATATTTTGATTTTTTTTTTATTTAAAAAGGAATTTCCCCACTTCTAAAGGAGGCTTAGAAAATCCAAAAAAATGTAACTATCCACTCAAATTGCTAAAAAGGAGATTTTTTTGGAACACTGTCAATAGTAAACACTTTTTGCGATCTTTTCACTTGTCTGCTCATGAATTAATACTTATTTTCATTGTAGCATGCCACGCCATGCCTTCCGAGATCGCTACGTCGGTGGTAACGGTAATCCAATCTGCTCCATGAAGACAAAATCCCCGTTATCGTTTGCTGAGTATGACATTCAACCATCGCAGAAGAATACATTCTACGATGGAGAGGCGAATCATTGGATTTGTTTCGAATTTAATTTTTGGAAAGCCAAGAGCTTCATGCTGCGGACAATGGCAACTGATGGGTCAGGACGGAGTTTCAAACAAGTTAAAACCTCAAAAGAAGAAGCTGAAATTGCAGTCTGAGAAAAAGTACGTAGAACATGCTCATGGTAGAACATCGCCCAGTTCTCAGTTGGATCACTCAGATCAATTTCATACTGAGACTGTTCACCTTACAGGAGGCGTGACATTCGGGAATCCCAGTCAAATTTTCTGTGTGCACCGCTATTGAAAGGCAGCTCTTTCTCTAGTCTGTGGATTCGGTGAAGTCGTCTTCATTTTATCTAAAGTCATGGGATAACCAATGGACATGAAACGCCGGAACCAACGCTCAAGAGAAGGGTCGGGCTATGGAATAGACTGCCATTCATTTTAACAATAAATTTAGGGGTACAGACTGTTCAATCTCCGTGGTTTTTACATTTA